GGGCATCCAGCCTTTGAAAAATTGTCTTAGTAAAGAGGCGATGAAAACGGATTTTTGCCCTAAGGGAGGAATGTTAAGTATCTCTTTAAGATGGAAGGTTTTTAATTTTTTTTTTTTTTTTTTTCTCCAGGACAAGAATCCGAAATGATTATTCCTTTAAGAGTTCAGTAAGATCGCTGGTACCTTATATGTACCCAACAGCAATCCTTCCGTTTCCAGCCACTTCTGGAGTCAAGATCCTTAACTTTGAATTCCATGATATTTGTCCATTCAAATATATTATAATCCTTTTATTGTTGAATTCCTGGGAAGTCAGCTTCGATACTTTAATCCAGACAAGAAATAATTTTACAATAAAAAAAAAAATAGTTAAATCATGTAGATTTCTTTCTACAACTAAATTCACAAGGCATCTGAGCTTCAATAGTACCAAAATATTGTTTAAAATTATCATTACAAGAATGTCGGTAAAGTTCGATTTTTTTTTTTTTTTTAGGTGGTAAATAGTCATGACGCATTAATTGTTAAGTTTTATTGGTTCTGACCACTAGCGGATCCAGGATTTAATTTTTGGGAAAGGGCTTCAGCACGAAAGTTGTTTTTTTTTCATATATATAACGATAAATAATTTGAAAAAAAAAAAAGAAATTAACTACATATATGAAACAGTGTTTAAGTGCTTCTTGAAGTTCTATTAAATATAATTACACGAACAATAATAGTTTAAGAGATAGTTTTTAATATTTTTTTCTATAAAAGATGATTATATTTTACGCTCCTCCCCCCTCCCATCATAGTTGGTCCCATCATGGTGCCGACATCAGGGCTGAAAAATTGTTTAATACAATCAGAGATATAGTATTTTTAGACAAATAATGGTTAATAATGAAAAAAACAATGATGGATTATACATGAAATCCATCACTATTTTTATCATTATTAACCATTATTGTCTTATAATAACATATCTATGATTGTATTAAACAAATTTTCAGCCCCGATGATGACTCACATGGTTGGGTTGAAACGTCGGCACCAATAAAAACCTTAAAAATGACTGCGTCTTGACTATGATATGTAGAACAGTCGACTAACTTCCTTCAACAATTTTTTTTTAATAAAACATTTATTAAAACTATTTAAAAGAAAAAAATCTATGAAATATCTGATCTATCTAGCTAGTCTTGAAAATTGGGCAAAAACTTCAAATATATGAAATATTTTTCCTGAAAATATAACAATTGGATAAATTTGAAAGATTTACTTTTTTAATTTTTTCAGCGTGATCTTGGTCAAATCACCTCCACGCACTAAAAAACTTCACCTGAACTATAATATCAATAAAGTTGCATAATATATTCGCATTTTCTAATAATAAATTTTCTAAAAATATATATGAATATTTGAAGATGTGAGTTTTAAAATATCTAAAAGTTATTGGATACCAGTGTTTTTATCCACTTATTTTTACTATGATTATATTAAACCAGTACAAATGATATATGAAATTTAAAGGAAACGTTATAGGAAAGTTTTAGTTTGAAAAGTATTAATAAATATAAATAGCATATTTAGGAACAGTGATTTTTCAACTGATTTAAAGAACCGGTTATTATTATGATAATTAATAAATAATTATTTAATTAGCCTCGCTATTAAATGTATCGATTATTTCTCGATCGGACCATAAGAAAATTGGAATGGAGACCTCATAATTTTTCGGTTCTCATGACAAGGTACTAGGAAATTAAAACAAGGAGTATCTTCAATCAGTAACAGTCCTTAGAAGGAAAAATAGAAAATAAAACCGGAGAGGAAAGAAAAAAAAAATGTAGCGAGACCTGAAGAATTATATGTAATTACGAGAGATTTTAATGTTTCCCCATTACCGGGAGACCAATTTCGATTAAGGGTATTTCACTTTATTCCAAAATTAGGCCTAATCGTGAGGGATTTTCTTTAGACTATTAACTCGAAAACCTGAAGCTAATTTGAATAAAAAACTGACCAATTTACTACTAATACACTTAACATCTTCTAAGACAGAAGTATGGACCATTCAGAATATTTTTACATCATCCAGGTGTGTTTCGTCCTTTCGGGATATAAGCCCTGGGGATATATCAGTGACAAAACATATCCTGTCCAGAATCTTAAGATTGTGTTTTACAGGGGGGTCTTTTGTAAAGGACTCAGGTATAACGCACCTGTTTATATAACGCTCTGGTTTTAGCCCACCCCCCGATTCCTTTTACGTGTAAACCACAATGGTAACTAAAACCTGGGAGAAAATTGAAACTAGTTTCGTTTAAAATAAAAAATATATCAAAAATCTATTTAAACATTCATAGACTGGTATTAAAAAGTTTATTCACATTTGAGATAGAGAAACTTATATCTTAAATATTAATTTTTATAAAATTATTTAGCTTTCTAACGTTTTCAATTTAGTTGTAATCTGCCAAAATATGTCTCTCATTTTCTCCTTTATTTAATCATCAAATTATTTTATAGTTCATATTCATCCATTTTGTATTTCTAATAAACTAAATTAAAGGTACTTTAAAAGAAGATATTTTGAAAATACGTAATGACTTCCAGACCTGAAGAACCCAGGTTCGAATCCGGCTGATGACTAGTAATATTCATCAGCTCTGGAATGACCCTCCTGGGGCACACCCAGCCTCTATAAAGTGGGTACTCTTAATTAAGTAATTAATTAAGGGGGAAATCTCTGGCAGTACAAAATGATATCGGCCTAATCACCTCTCTGCACAACCATTGGCCTAGTAACAGAACTTTTTTTTTTTTTTGTAAAAATGTTTTAAATCAATTTTAGAGAAAAAAAAAATGCTGCAACATCCCGGAAATATACAATACTTAAATTTTTCAAATATACCAATAAAGACATTTTTCACGATCGCAGTACTTTTTCTTACTACACACTAATTGAAAGATCCAACATCAACAGCTTGGAACTGACTTTTTAAAAACTTGTTATTCCTTTAGGGAATTTACGTGACTGATTTGTAAAACACTTTTCAGAACTTATTCATAAAGGGTATAGTCCATGGTACAGAGCCCATTTGATCAAATTATTAACATCCTCCAGAAACTTCGTAAATATCTCATTGTAACCTACAACTATTTTATTTCTGGCAAAATAGGACTTGCTTTTACTAGTCTTAAAGCCAAAAAACAAAAAAAAATCTATTTTATTTAGGAAAATTCTCAGAATTGGGACGTTTTCAATCTGGAGATCGGCAAAGTTTGTCTAATTATTTAGATACAAAAAACTCGTAAATACCCATTTGCTTTCCACTTGGATCGTAAAATAATTTGAGCACAAAATCGAGAATAAAGGTGGCCTTCAAAAATATTGGGCAGTTTAGCGTAACCGACACCCTCAAAATGTAAAAATAACTAGGTTATGCAGGCCAAATGGCTTAATATTTTTTAAGGCCACCTTTTTTTCTCGATTTTGTGATCAAATTATCTTACGATTCAACTGGAAAGCAAATGGCTATTTACGAGTTTTTAGTATCTAATTAAATAGACAAAGTTGGCTCCCCTGCAGATTGAATACGCCTCAATTCCAAGAGTTTTCGTAAATAAAATAGTTGTAGGTTACGATGAGATGAAGCTATTCAAGAAGTTTCAGGCGGATGTTAATTATTTGATAAAAAGGGGTGTGTACCACGGAATAATTTGTTAGAATAGCTTTGGAAGCGATGTCTTCGAGTTTTAGGAAAGTTTCTTTGAAAAATGACTCTTTAAATACGTTCATTCCCAAACTCATAGATGATCACTCCAATGAGTTCATGTCAGAGCCATTTTCTGGATTGGCTCATAACGACTCATGATTTGTGGAGGCCGGATGAGTTTCTGAAATATTGACTGCTTTGTTCATGGACCCATTAAATATTGGGAAGAGGGTGGTGAAAAAAAAATTACTTTATAACTTGATGGGCCCCCGATGGAAAATAAAAGACGGAGAAACGTGCCTCATTCTAAACTGTAATGGCCCAATCCCTGGGCAGAGCTGCCATTTGTGGATAACATCACTGACCGTGGATTCGTTTTCCAATAAAAAAAAAATATATATTTCTAGATTACTGAAAACATTAAATAGATACATTTTATTATTTATTGACAGTAAATACATTAAGGAACTTACCAAGTCCGCCTAACTGTTGCAAGACCAAGACCAGGATTGGTAAAAAAGATCGATTTTTTAAATAAAAATTAAGCCAAAATAGTTACTAATACTTGACAATCTTAGTTACTATATGTTAATAATTGGCATAAGCAATATACCTTTGCAGTTAACTCCTATAATTTTTCATTTGATCTTAGTTAAGTTTCTTCTATTTAAAAAAATACAGTAATATCTCTATAGTAATAAGCTAATGAGTAACTGCAAGACTGTTGCGAGACTCTTGCGCAAGACCAAGACCATGACCAAGACTGAGTTTGTAAGACCAAGACTCGTCTCGGTCTCGCATTTGGACAACACTAATGAGTATATATCAAGATGGAAGAGATGGTGTAGAACGGAGTTCATAAATCACTTAAAAAATTGTAAAATATTTTACTAAACCTAAGTTTTGACACACTATGCATGTCTCCATCAAGGCTGAAATGGATAAGATATAACTAAAGAATAAATATCAGTTACAAATAAAATTTTAAATCAGTACAATGATACCTTGACTACGAATGGTAGAGGATAATAAGGAATATTTAGAATTAGGAGAACGGCATACAATAGGACCGAAGTGCCATTTTTGGAAAGAAAAAAATGCTTAAGAACAAAAATAAATTGAAAGTGAAAATCGTTATTTTCGGAACAATGAAAAAGACCTGTTTATAAAATAGTCAATACTTTTCATATTTTAGTTTTGAGGTTTTTTCCAAGTTTGACCGACTGTACAACATTTTTTAATATTTTATAATTTTTTTTATTCTGGTTTTTATATTTTTTTATTATTTTTTTTCAGTTGCTCAAGTTGCGGCGAACGCTGGCGTAGTACGCGGTGATACAAAAACAATCACCCAAATGGACTACTCCAGGTACGTTCGAAGGTTTGCTTCGTCTTTGGAATGTGGAAACCAGTACTGCAAGGAGCTTAATTACAGGTAATTATTTAATTAAACGATATCATTTTTATTAATTAATTATAGAAAAAATAAACATATTATATGGTTCAGATTTACTAAAAAAAATCTAACTTAATACAGATAATACCGTAAACATTTTTTTTTCTACTTCGAATCTTCTTCAAACAGCTGATTATAAGTTTAACAATGTAATTTAATACTTAAAAAAATATTATAACCTTCACTTTGTCTCTCAAAAAAGCTATGAAGCTATATATCATCTTGTCAATATATTCATTATTATATATATCTTTTTTCTTTTTCTTTTTTTTTTTTTTTTTTTGCCTCTTCCAAGATTCATAAGAAAAATTATCTTGTTCCTGAAAGCAACGCAATCATTCTTAGCTGACAGTTCGATAACAATTTATACGTATACAGTTATTCGAAAACCTTCGTTAGGAGGACTACCAGTTGTTGGCATGATAAATCTGCAACATATCGAATTTAAATGAAGGCAGAGTTCAACGCTCTGAGCTTCTCAACTTCGTTCATCTTCATATGTTTTAGGAAAATTATAAATATATATATATATATATACTTCAACAACTCACAATGAATTGAGACAGTACTAGATCCAGAAATTAATTTTGTGGACTTCAACCCGAAAACCTTTTAGAAAAAGAACGGAACTAAATATCAATGTGAAATTATTTTTAAGTGATTCTTTAAATTCTATTTTAAAAAACTTGTAATTACACTAACAATAATACTTTAAGAGATAATTTTTGAAGTTAAAATTTCATGTTTGCTATCTGTTAATAAAGATCCTTTAATTGCATCCCAAACTCTTCAATCACATATCACAAGCCTTGAAGAATGGTGTAAAAATTGGAGAATAAAAATTAATTCCAACAAATCCCATCAAATCACCTTTACCCTCCGTCGTAAACCTATGACGTCTTGTCCTACAGTAACTTTCAATAATACTCCACTTATTCCTGTTGAGCAAATCCGCTACTTAGGACTCCATTTGGATAAACGTCTTACTTAGAATCCTCATACTAGACTGAAACGACAAGAAACTGCTCGACGTTTCCGACTGCTCCAACACTTACTAGACAAACGCTCCAAACTTTCTATTAATTACAAAAGACTTATCTACATAACTATAATAAGACCTATATGGACATATGGAGTTGAGCTTTGGGGCTCCACCAAACCATCGAATTCCTATCGTATCCAATCCTTACAATCCAAAATCCTCCGTAAAATCCTTAATGCTCCATACTTTGTCACAAATAAAACCATTCATAAAGACCTTAATGTACCATATGTCGCTGATTTATCTCGAGCCAGATATCTATCCTTTCATGATAAACTTCAGTCCCATCCGAATCCGCTTGTTTCCACTCTTGCTTCTTTCTCGATTCCTGATAATCCTCCTAGGCGTCTGAAAAGGAGATGGCCTCGTGATCTTCTTACTTAAAATTATTTAGAGAGTGCTACCACTGGGTAGTAACTCTTCAAGCCTGTACATGCCATTATTTATATTTGCGCATATTTACTTGTTGTATTTGTATACAGTTGTAAATTCCATTAAATAAACAAAAAAAAAAAGTTAAAATTTCTTTAGGCACGTTTTGAACTTTTTTTGTGGAAAGTGGATTAGATTGAGCCGTCAGACCTCCGATGTGTAACGCTCGAGTAAAGTCGGCTTAATATCTCAAAAACTAAAACTCGGACCAGGGAAATGTTCATCATTCCATTCTCTTTGTAATGAGCTATTATTCGAAATTGTATCTTTACGCGACGCTGTGTTGGAGAGGCGAAAAGGTGAAAAAATATTTTCGAAAACCAAATGATAACGAGTTTTATGGAAGATATGGATTAAAATATCTCAGAAACTGAAAATCGAATTTGGATACTATAAGCGAGGGAAATGTTCAGCACTTCATCCTCTTTATAATGAGCTATTACTTATAATTTATATTCCATATTATTAATCTAGCTTTGCTGATGTTTTCACTTCTATCTGATTATAATTTAAAAAATATAACATATTTTAATTGTTTAAGTATTTATCTTAAATCATTCACAGTAACAAACATGAACTAATGAAAAAAAAATTTTCTTTTTTGCGAGACTTCAGCCCGAAAGCTCTTCTCCATAGATCCCCCAGTGAGTAGAGACAGTAACAGATTATTTCGATTATTATTTTCATTTATCTATATATAAAATATATACTTATGGAAAGTATTGCGACTGTAATAAATTTCGAATCCGAGTTTTTAACAGAAATAAACGTTTCGAAGTCCCTCACATCAAATCTTGCAAAATGGTCTGTTTGTACGCCAACAACCAAGATTTGATTACATCGTTATGCCAATATTAATGTATATATGCCTGTTGTACCTGTGTATATTTCTTGAAGGAATTCTGGGTAACTGTTCTGGATATATAATTTTGACTTTTAATACTAATACCTGATTCATATTATGCTAGATACATGGACATTAATATAGTAGGCACTGTATAGTTTAGCAAAAAAAAAAGCAGTTAGGAGGTCGAAGAACTTAGATGAACGCATTTTAAGGTTCGTTGTACCGTGATGTTAAAACCATGGTGTGCGTAATTGCTCCATTCATTAGTAAATGTTAATTCACATTTTATGGACTAACGAGAACGAATTAGCTATTGTAATTTTCATTACCCGAATATTCGAGAACTATAGTGTTTTTTCGTGTCGTTATTTTTTTTTCATGTTTAAAAATAAAACCACTCGGAAACTATTTTGTAATAATGGATCTTCTCATACATTTTTTTTTATACTCACTGAACTATAACTCATGTCCATTAAACTGTTAACAAGTGTTTCTTCCACGCGATGTTGGTAAAGGAATGTGACATTGGAGCATGTTAGAATAGAAGGAACAAAATAGTTTAAAAGTTACAGAAGAATACAGAAAAAAACAGAATTATTAAATGTCTGCGCAAATTGTAATTATTAATATTTAAATCTATTATCATTCATAAAATTAATAAAGGTTATTATGAGATTGAAGACAAATAAAGGCAATTGTTATTGAATAAAGGCACATGAGTCAGTTGTAGTAAAAATGTTATAATTCTATTTCATATGCTTCAAAACTATATATTTTTTTTTCTGTTGTCATAACACATCTTGTAGATATTTTGCCACCGTAACAAGTCTATTCCATCTCTACCTATCCTGGGCTATTTCTTTCCAGTTACCTGGATACAACTCTATAGTATTTTTGTTGTGTCGATCCATTCGCTTTTTGGCCTCCCATGTGATCTTTTGCCTTCTATTGAGGCATTCATTATCGTGTAGAGGTATCCAGAAGCAGAGATGGGCAAATGATACTCTGAGTACTGAGTACTGAGTACCAAGTTTTTTACTCAAATACTAATCTTTTTTGAGTACCAACAATTTGATTACTATTTCATGTCATATGATTAACTGAAGTAGTGATTTAATTCATAATAGTGAATCAATTTGAGTAAAATACTTTTTTTTTTATATTTATTTTTATATACGTTAAATCATGACATAATAATGATAAATTACATGTTTATGGTTGCAGTGACCTTACACATGACATACTGGTGGTTTGAATGCTATTTAGAAAATCGAAATCGATTTTTTACAGTAGGAAAAATCATAAAAAATCTACATAAGATATAAATGAAAAACTATATTACAATCATTAAAAGTACAAGAAAAACTAAATATATATGTGTGTATTTATATGATGTGTGTGTATATGTATATATATTTACATATACACACACATCATATAAATACAATTTGTTAATTGGGGTGATTGAGTTTATTGTTACTTGTTTGATGATAGTTAAGAAACCGTTAAATTTTCATAAATAAACAGATTGATTTAGACGTTTAGTAGTATGTGTTTAGTCCGTCTCTGTGTATACCGTTTCAAAGATGTCTTGTCATAGTTTCCTATTGTTCGGATTATAGGGTTTTCAGACGTTGGTGTTAGCTCAAAAAATCTCTGACTTTTAAAATAAATATATTTTTTTATAGTGGGAAGCTGTAATTCTGATAGTATCAAAGTAAAATACTTGGTGCTCGGTACTCGGTGCTCGGTAGCTTTGCACATTTCTGTCTAGAATTAATGCTCTGCCAATTCAACCTCCGTGCCTTCATATCATGAGATATTGATTGACCAGTTTCTGTAGAATAATATTATTTGTACACCATTTTCTTGTTGTTGTTATAAGGTTGTGATAAATATTGAGTTTATTTTTATTTTTATTTTTTTCAGAGAGCACTTCCATTGCTTGGACTGCAACTCCCGTACCTTCGTGAAGAAGGAGGAGATGATCCGGCACTTCAAGTGGCACAAGAAGCGCGACGAGTCGCTCCAGCACGGCTTCATGAGGTACTCCCCGAGCGACGATTGTTCAGATCGCTACCCGAACTGCGGTCACAACAGGAAGCAGACCCACTACCACTGTATCCAAGGGACCTGCGACAAAGTCTACATCAGCACTTCAGATGTCCAGATGCATGCCAACTACCACCGCAAGGACTCCGCCATCATACAAGAAGGATTCCAGAGGTTGAGGGCTACCGAAGAGTGTCGTACTCCGTATTGTGCCTTCTTCGGGCAGAGGACCACACACTTCCACTGCAGGAGGGACCACTGCCAATTCACCTTCAAGAACAAGGCTGATATGGGTAAGTACTTTAACCATTTTTTAAAGTTAAACTCCAGCAGAGGTGATCCCCCCCAAAAAAAATTTGGTTACCTTCTAAAATTTATAACTCCATAAAAATATGTCCCTTAAAACATTTTAATGACGTAACTTGTAACCTTCTTCTGGTAATCTCTGGACTCCAGTATAAAGGTCCTTTTAGACTCACTTTGAGAGAGTTAACTAAAAATTTTCTTGACAGTATAATTATTCTGTAAGAGAAGATAGATATATTCAAAATGATGAATGAATCGATTGATTTGATGAAGTATTAACGAAGACGTACAGACCTTTGAGAAATAATATATAAAGATGATTATTAGTAAATAAATATATATATATTTTATATTTGGCGAAGAATCTGATTACAATACGGAAAAAGTTGCTTGAAGTAGTTCTTTTTCTTTTTTTTTCTAAAGTAACTGCTATACAATGAATCGGGTTTTCCTTTGTCTCAGCCACAAAACTTTTTTTCTTGCAACTTTTAGTTCTTCAAAACTTTGAAAAGTTTAAAAAGAAATGTTCTTGGAAATACTGAGTGATAATTTTGCATTTAAAATTATTCTCTGGTAGGATTTCGAGATATAATGTAACATACAACATATAATTAATAGATGCTAACATCTATCTGACTTCTAGTTGGCAATATTTATTTTTAGATACATGAATAGTCTTCATGATTTTTTTTCTAAGAACTAGTCAATTAATTGTTGTTATAAACGACGACAATGCGATGATATTTCCGCACAAACCGAAAGAGCTAAAGTTCAAGGCTTTATCTCTTGGTCCCACTTAATGTAATGGAAAACGAGTCACTTTTTCGTCTTATTTAAATTCTATTTATTTATTATTATTTACTGTTATACGCACAAAACCTAAACAATACTCTTAAATATTAGCGCCATTCATCATTACTACATTTTATTAATATTAAAATATTAATTAATATTAAATTACTTATTAATATTAATCAATAATATTTCAAATTCCTAACCTAGCCTATAATAGCTATCACCATAGCAGCCATTGCAACTGTATTACGCAGTGCTGCTGTTTACCGACTATTTTTTGGCATAACATATCTTGTAAGTAATTAGAAAAACATAGAAACGCGTTTCTTAAAATAAATTAGTCATTTATTGATATCATAGTATTTTAACACTATTTTCCAGTAAATCTTCATAATTATTTTTCTTTTAAATAACGAAATTTAAATTTCAAAGTAGGTAATGATGTACTCAACATACTTAATCAATATGGATGTGTTCATCAGACTTTCCACTTTTGTGGAAATCTTTTTAGGGCAATTACAACTTTGGAAGAGAATTTTTTTTTTTATCAATCAGAGCTCAGTTTAATATATTTAAAAAAAATTAATTTAAAGAAGACATCCATAAAAAGAGTATTTATATATAATATTAAATATTATTTTGTATATATTTGGATGGAAGAGATTTTTAAGTTTGTTCTGAGGATAAAAAATGGAAAATTTGAAGGAACTGAAAAAAAGGAAAATAAAAAAAAAATATGAAGGGAACGCCTAGTGCTCAATCATTGTTTCAAATTATTATATTATAACTATATTCTCCAAATTATGAAGACCAATAAAACGCAGGGCAAATATCATATATTTTCTTGTATTTCTTATAACGAAATTTTATATATCTTGAACATTTTTAATATATTATTAAATAATTATTTATTTTATATAAGAATACCGTCGGCAAAAAGTCATTAAATGACTTTTCATAACTTTAAATAATTAAGACATTTGATGAATTTTCCCTTTGTGAAATCAGAAAATTATGAACTTAGTATAGCAATAAATGATAAATAAAAGGGTTTATGCCATTTCCATGCATGGTATACTTGAAAGTTAACCTAAATCAGAAATGCAGTTAGCGACTTGTTTGCAATAATCTGACCAATATTTTTATTATTGTTAACAATATTAAACAAAGAAAAAGTCTAGAAAAAACCAAAAGACATTGAAGTCCGCTTTTAGACTATTAACCTTTAAATATACATTCAAGAATAAGGTTGGAGACTTCTGGTTTAAAATATACCATATACTTAAAAAAGAAAAAATGTGTTAATAAAGAACCATATTTGTTAATAATGAAAAAGCATTCTGTCGTCAAATTATTTTTTTTTTTAAGTGAAGACTTCTTTAGGCGCGTTTTGCACTTTTGTGGAGAGTGAATTAGATTGAGCCGTCAGATTTCCGATGTGTAACGCTATGGTAATGTCAGCTGGAGTCGACTAATTGAAGTGTTTTTGCATATCGTTAGCATGGGAATTATTCAGCATTTCAAACTCTGTGTGATGGGCTATTATTCAAAATTGTATCTTAACGCAACACCGTATTAGAGAGGCGAAGAAGGAAAAAATATAAATCGGACCTGTATATTGTAAACGAGGGAAATGTTCAGCATTCCATCTTCTTTATAATGAGCTATTATTTATAATTTATATTTTATATTATTAATCTCGTCTTGTTGATGTTTTCACTTCTATCGTGTGGTCTAAAGCACACGTCTTATTTTTTTTAATAGTTAATAAGATAGGCTTGACATATACTCATGTGTATAAAACATGCAATGGTGAAACCATGTCACAGAGTTAATATTTAAATACTTTTATACGAAGCTGAGAAGAGAAAATCAGACGAAATGTAATCCTAAGAAGGCCATATTATATTATTCTTCACCCGTAGCTCCGTCCCAGACACAGATTAATTCCTTTTCGCCTTATATTTCATTTTCGCCATTTAATTCCTCTACCGAGGTCCTTCCAAGGTGGTTACTCATTTTTACAAATGGCCGTGCCAAACGGGTCCCGAATTTCGGCATTTCCTTAAGATCGCCTCGCCTAAATCATATGGTGATTTACGCCTCCTTGGAATCCCAACGTCGAATAATTTCCCTCGCACCTGTTTCTCGTCCCGTATATCTTAAGGGAGATATATGGCTGCGTTTAATTTCTTATCCCAGCTAGTAAATAAACTCGGATTCCGATCGGAAAGAAGTGCTTTTGACAAAGAATGGCGTTTGGAAACAGATATAAATATGTTATTGGTCGCTACAAGTTTTAGCATATGGAAACAATAAATTATTCGAAGCACGTTAAAAAACAAAAAAAAACTGAAGTGTGTGCTGTAGACCATACGATAGAAGTGAAAACATAACATCAACAAGGCGAGATTAATAATATGAAACATAAATTATAAATAATAGCTCATTATAAAGAGGATGAAATGCTGAACAATATCCTCGCTTATAGTATGTAATTTTTATTTTCTGAGATATTTTAATCCATATGTAATAAAAACATTTAAATTAGTCGACTCTAGCCGACTTTATCCGAGCGTTAAAACTTCGTAAATCTGACGGACCAATCTAATTCGCGCCTAAAAAAGTTTTCACTTCAAGAATATTAATTTTTAGGCTCATCGTGAAGTTCTTAACATATTTTAATTTTTACGTATATGTATAGTTTTAATTTATCTAAACTTAAGTTCAAAAAAATATTTCATAAGGACATTGCACTAGGATTGGCAATAGCTTACTAGCTCTATTATTAGTTGTAGTAAGTATCAGTAAATTTGTACTTCACTAAATACAAGGGGGTGAGAACATTGTTAGAGAACAACACCCCTCCCCTCAATATTTTGAAGGACAGAATCAAAATCAATAACAAGTAATCTATATGAATGAATGAAAAATGTAAACTAAAATCAATCAAGGAAATAGAACAAGTCAACTTAATATTAGAAGTAGATAAGGAATTATTTCACAAGCCCTAATGATGTTCCTGTTATTGAAATTTAAATTTATATTCGAAGATAACCATATTTAGCAACATATCCTAGCATTTTATGACTTATTCGTGTGCATTCTTTCATTTTTATGTGAAGGTTTTACCAAATTTCTAGCAGCAAATTTTAAGCACCGGTTAAAAAAAACTAATATATAAAAATATACATACATTTATTTTTATGTCTAGTATAATATTGTTTGTTTTACAATAATTATGTTGATTATCACTCATAAAATAAACTCCCGAGACTTTCTAAGGGAGATCTATCACCCTCCCTACAATCAAAATGGAAAGTCTGCTCTAATGCCTATTACCTCATCTGTCCTAAACGATAGTACCTTTTTCATGAGTTTATTTTTCAAATATTTATAAAATTATATTTCTTCTTCAATCTATTCAAAATAAAACTTAAATCTTTCTTTATAGAAAAACATAAGACGTACCACATCAAAGACGAAGCACTGGCACGAGACGGATTTAAGAAGTTCCTGAAGCCGGATCCGTGTGGATTCGCAAACTGCAGGTTCTCCCAGGTCTGCAACCACATCCACTGTGTCAGGGAAGGATGTTCCTATGTCCTCCATTCTTCCGGACAGCTCCTCAGCCACAAGAGGAAGCACGAGAGGAAGGACTCTGAGATCGCCTACAGGAAGTTCAAGCTGGCGCAGCAAGCTGTTGTCAACATCGGAGCTCCTTCTGAGCAGGTATGAATTTATTATTTACTCCTTGATTTGTTGTCTGTCCAATATTTAGGCTATATCCCATTTTCTAAATTTTTCATTTGCTTTGCAGCCGCTCCAGCATAGCGACATGCCTACAGGTAGTTCTCTGCAACTGCTCCAGCAAGCTTCTTCGTTGGCGGCCCTCAATGCCCTCAGTGAGAACTTCACTACAAGCACATCATCAGAGAAGAGCCAAAGTCCTAGTTTACCTTCTACGCCTTCGTCTCACTTCAACAAACCCCCTACCTCAGGTGAGTATAGTGATTGCAATGATATTTTACCATTGCATAATTATGAACTAATGCATATAACACTTCTTCCTACTATTTCTTGATCACAAATATCTTCTGCAGGAGCTTCAACACCAAGCTTCTTAGACCAGTCGACAAGTTCTCAAGATTACGATGATGAGTTCACTCGATACATCGCCAGCTTCCCTGTATCCCAATCCTGCGGTCAACCCTGTCAACTGTCAGGCACTGAACACTACCACTGCAGAGAATCATCCTGCGAACTGCCCTTCAGGTGCAGGGAGACAGCAGAAGGACATGCAAGAATGCACGAGGCCCAGGAAAGAGTCAGCGACTTCTTTCAAGAAGGATCTCCCCTCTGCCATTCTAGTTGTCCGGCAGAAAAACATTACCACTGCACCTGGGTGAGTAAACATCTAACGTTTTGTTATTATTTCTGTTAATATTTATTTTTCAAATTTAATAATTATTATCTTTCTGTAGGATGGATGCTGTGACATAGTGATGCCAAGTGAAAGACTGGAACATTTCCGCTCTCATGAAATCTCAGCTCAACATAACAACTCCCTTGATACTCTTTTCAGGCGCAAGAGAGGACGACCACCAAAGAACAGGGTCATTGAGGTGAATATATTTGAATAATAATTTATCTAATACTCAACTGTTAATTGATTAAATTGTAATTTTATTATTTATATGTATTTTATTTGATTCTAATAGTTCTTTTTTTTTTTTTGTTTCAGGTTTGGAATGACTATGTAAGTATATTTTTATTCTACCTAAAATGAAATAATTAATTTGCTTATTATAACTTTGTTCGAATCGAACATTATTTAGATATTTGATTATTAATATTTTATATTTTATTTTATTTTACAGGCTAGCGGCTCAGGGTCCGATTCTCCTCAAGCCATATTTACAAGCTTCAAATTGCCTAAGCCAAGCCCGGCGACACCCACCTCAGAGGTCCCGACTATGTTATCATCTCCCCTTACGATAACCACTGTGTGTGAACCGAAATCTGTGTCGAATCAGAACATCGTAAGTGATAAAATTAAAATAATAATAATAATATAGTTCTTTAATTATAAATTTAAATTTTCTATATTTTTTTTTTATGAATTAATATTTGTGTTACAGGAAACTCAAGGGTTCCAGTCATACAATGGTCCTTGCCCAGATCCTCTTTGCCTATTTTCCAATCGTCCCCAACATTACCACTGCTCCCGGCCGAGGTGCTTCTTCGCTACAGATTCTGATGATTTCCTTATCGCCCATACGAGGGATTTCCATGACAATATCGATATCTTGGAAGGCTTCTTGTTCTTTGATAGATCTGTCGATTGCCGAATTGAAAGTTGCACAAGGTAGGATTATTTTTTAATTATTAAATACTACATTATGATGTAACAATTAATTTTATAAATCATTAACCTAAATGTATTTATAATTATTAAATTTTATCAATAATAGACAAAAAGAGCACAATATTTCCCACTAATATATTTCACCAATAAAAAATCTTTTCAATACAAAAAAAAATATTTTTTATGTAATATAATAGCCATTTTCAAAAAGTCAAAATTAAAAAAAAAATTAAATAATATATAATTTATTACTAATTGGCAGTGCATATTAATGATAATAATTAGTTTGACGTTCTCTCTTGTTATCACATTTCTTTTTTAACTAACTTAAATAATTATTTTTATTAAAATTATAATTTATATAAGATATAAGTAAAATTTATTTTATCATAAATCCAGTCATTAAATTCCAAAAAACTTAACTACGACTTAGAACATATGTTTATACTCCTTTATAAGACAATTCAAGCGCACTCTATTGAGATTTATTTTAACCTGTATTATGTTTACAGATATAAGGAGTGGGGGGGGGGACATGGGGAGCATTATCTATCTAGTTTTTTTAAAAGTTCCGCATAATTTTATTTATGATATTATATTATGTTTATTAGTAAACTTTGATAGTTTTTATGTAAGATTAAATACAATTTCTTCACTATGAATTATTTATTAATTTTATTTTTAATTTTTTTTTTAGCAACAAAGTTAATCGCCACTTCCACTGTGTAAGGCCTGGTTGTGGATATTCTTTCGTCAGATACTCGCACATGGCGATCCATCAAGCAGAGCATGAATCTGAGAGGAGTCAAAGAAGTCAAAGCCGTTCCCCTTGTGGGCAAGCAACTGATCTCAGTAAGTATTTAAATATATATAAACTTTATATATAAAAATATATACACATTTATATATGAAAAATTAAAAAATATAATTTATTATCATCCCTTTATTGGTATCAAAAAGTCTACTTCTATCAAACTATTCGGATCTTTTCACTTTTTTAAAAATAAAAATCCACCATTTCTCTGTAAAATTTTGTCTAATAAAATTATTTCATCTTTTTAGGTGACAGTAGCGAGAAACCCGATATCAAACCTGATATTTCCAAATTAAATAATGAAAATTTCAACCAGCACATCAAACAAGAAGAAAATACGGTCAACAACATGTCGAGACCAACCGGTAAGTTTTCTAAACATGTCAAACAAATTCAATTTTCTTTTGAATATATCACTATTATTTATAAATTAGCATGTAAAAGTTCCTAAATATTGTACATAATGCATGTATCATCATTTAGAATAGTTTCTTTCAGTGCACGACTTCTATTTTCTTACAAAGTATTGTTTGCCAGAGCAACTTTAAAGAAAATTGAATCCTTAAATTATGAAAAAGTTTGACACCCTTAAACAAATGATTTTATTTTGAAATTTCATCCGATTCATTAAAAAAAAATATAGTAAAAATATATAAATTTAGTTTTTACTAAGAATTTTATCATATTTGGCTAATTAAAAAAAAATTAAGAGAAATTTAATTTTACAAAAATAAAATTTAAGAGATAAATCAATATCAAAATTATTTAAATTAATTTTGGATTCATTCATTAAGCTTCCTCAGGCAGATGATATCTATTATTTTGCAATTTATGTGAAGGTAATATCTATCAGGGATTGTTTTGTATTTACACATAAATAAATAATTTAAGTATCAAACATTTTATTGAAATGAATTTCCAATTATCCGGAAATATATTTGAATATGTTCCAATAAATATATGTAGTGAAAAATTACTTCCATTATGTCTTTTTATTAATAAGACATTCACAAACCAACGTTTTGAAAATCTTCTTCAACAACAGGGTTCCATTGTTATAATCTTTGACTTAAAGTCCTTTCAATTTTTGTACGTGTAGTGAATTCCTGAGAAAATTTGAGTGAAAAAAAAGTTATAAAGAAAACAAAAATGTTTAGGGGCCTAACTCACGAATTATACATTCTATTGGTTTTTAATGGATCTTTACGTTTCACAGCTGCAGAATTTTTGAGAGGTTGTTAAATTTCAGAAAAAATTATTTAAAAAATTGTCTAAATCGGACCAGTTTTAAAAAAGTTAAAGAATATTAAATTCTATACGCTGTTAATGATTGTTCACTTGCCTGTTTACATTGCTTTAGTTTAGCAAATAAATCATACTTTAGTGATTTCTCTGATCAGTTTTTAGGAAAATTAATCTAATTCAATTGTTTGTTTTTTTAATGAAAATATTTAAAGATATGTAAATTAATTTAAAATAGGAAAGTCATGTGAGTGAACACACCAGAATTTTTTAAACTATAACTCAAGTATTTTAACGAATAAATGCAAGCATGTGTCGAGTAAAAAATATTAAAATAATTTATTCCTAAAAACATTATTTTTCCTGTAAACATATCTTACAACAATTTTTGCTTTTTTTTTTCAACAGGCTGTCAAAAACAACTTAAACATTATTTTCTTTCTGTTTCTTCCAGAGTAATCGAAAAAAAAAAAAAGTCCCCAAAATTAAATCATGGATCCCCTATTGCTATACATACATATAGATATCTGAGGATATTCGAATATATTTCTGAATAGTTGGAAAAATACAAAATATATAATTAATGTATTTATATAAGTTTAAATTTAAGTTTATTCATTTAGATCTTTTTTTTATATATATATGTATACAAACAATCCCTGATCAATGAATGTTCTAAACTTCTTTTTGCACAAATGTGAGTGCACAAAATATTAGAATAGATTATTGCACATTGTGTTTCGAGTGATAGTGTTTGATTACTTATAGAAAAACGTTGTTATGTTGTGTGTTAAAGTGGTGAAGGCGTCGGGAACTTTCTACCCACTATGTGGTCTGTCAAATTGCAACTCTTCCCCTACTCCCGCTTCAGGTGGGCACACATTTTCTTCTCTATTTATTTCAAGCACTAGTCTTCCATTTCTTTTCTTGAATTGGTTCTGTGCCAGATGGATATATATATTTATTTATTTTATATTAAATAAGCATTTAACAAATCGTGGCCTTGGTCTGAAAAGATTCTAACTGTATTTATTATAATTTTGAGAAACAGAGCTTCAAAATTACAATCTAATGTAGTATGAATATTTTGTTACTTAGACTAACAATATTGTTTGTACAATACCTTGAAGCAATGAGCTCTCATATTTTCATTCGTTGATGACTTAATTGTACTACTTATTAATATCATTTTGAATACTGAAATTTCGCACTTTGTCATTCTAGAGTCCATTTTGTAGTGGGACAAGATTCTAAGTGCAGATAGAATCTTTTCAAACCAATAGTCTTTTGATTTTATTTTATCTTGTGGTTTTTCTAGGGTGTGACAAGGTTTTAAATGCAGATAAAAGTTTCTCACTCTAATAAATTATTTTATCCTTTTTAAGTTAAATGAAATAAAGGTTATTTATTACAGAAGCAATACTGTACTATCATTGCATATGTTGTAATAATTAACGAAAAAATAATTTAAAAAACAGAAACATCGCCAGAGTAAAATATTTGAAAAAAAAAATCTGATCATGAAATGTGGCATTGCTAAAACCAACATAAATAATGTGAAATGTGCTTGTTTGCACTATATATATATTTTTAGATTTTTTATGTTATACAATATATAATATAATATATTTTTTGTGGTTTTTAAAAATTATGAAAATATCACATGTGTCGTTTCTGACATAACCGATTCGAATATGTTATACACAAAGAACAGACCTTTTCGAATAATATAATTTCATGTTTAACTCACAATAGAATAACTATAAATCCAGTACAGCTACATGGTATAACAGTTAGAACTTCCTCAAATCACTAACTTTCAAAACTTAAAACCATGTCACACTGCTAGTTTCTTTATTTTTCAACTGATATAAATTTTCAACAGAAATAATTTTTTATTTTTCTATGTGCAAGTGTTATTATTAATATATATATATATATATATATATATATATATATATATATATATATATATATATATATATATATATATTTAAGACAGATATTTTAATTTTTTTTATACAATTGCATAACAATTTTAATTTTTTTTAACAGAGACTGGACATAATATTAAGGTTGAACCAGGAACTACGAATTCTGAGCAATCTATTCCTGAATGGATATCATCTGTCGAAAAACATGACAGATATGCACCAGAGGTACTTTTCTACGATAGATCTTTATTTTAAAGATATTTTTTATTGTATCTATTTATTAATATAAATTCATCCAGAATTAAAATATATAAGTAAATCTTGATTAATCAGAAAAAAAAATTACAAATAAATAGTAGAAAAATATAATAGAAAACATGTATTTTATTAGAAAATCTGATTAAAATGTTAGTAGGATAAAATTTTAATTAAAAAATGACTCACCATTATTGTTTAATTATTTTTCAGGGATACTCTGATATGGAGAGGTTGAAACCACACATCGCAAAGCATAGTCCAACTGTTATCGCTCCAACCATTGTAAAATCTGAAAATAACAATAATAATGAAGATAACAATCAACAACCTCATCATGGTAATTATATTGTTATTTACATAAAAAGTATTAAATATGTGTGTTATGTTTTTATGCTATATTATAAATTATATTTATTTTCTTATATACATATTATTTTATCCCGACAGGATTAAGCATGATGCAACTTCCAATGGAAAGCCAGGAAAGCAACATGATGCCTCCTCCGCATTTCCCTGGTTTTCTTGCAGCAGTGGCGAACCAACAGTTGGCGATGATCACGTCACAGGGAATACCGTTCATGCCACATGCCATGCCAGGTCTCTACACCTCGCCATCAGGTAGTTTGAACACTTTTCAAATATTATGACGTAATAAAATTCCATAAATTAAATAAATATCGGAATATATTAAATTATTTTCTTCTTTGAAGGTTTAATGTTCACCGGTCCACCTGGTTTCGCTCCTCATCCATCTTCTCTCGTCAACAATGGACTTCTGGAAAGTGCGAGGGCTTCATTGATGAACAGTGATAATTCACCTGAAGCACTGTTAGCAAGAAGGTATTTATGAAATTTTATTTTAAATAATATATATATAGAAACATGTACGGTAAACTAAAGATAGTTAAAAAAAATAAAATTATTAATGCTGGTTCAACAGTGTTGTTAATTCACACAGCATATCAATCCATCCAATAGGATAATATTTAAAAAAAGGATAATATTTTTTAAAAATAAAATTTGAATTTTTAAAATGGGGTCTGTCTTAAATTAAAGTCCAAAATTATTTATTTATATTTTATTAAATATAATTCAGCCGTTGGCTTCTTTATATTATTGCATCAGCTGGAGACAAATAACCCATTTTCTTATTTAATGAAATGGCATTGATGACTAAATTATAATTAATGATTTGATATTTTTAGAATCAATGAGTTTAAATTCCTTTCCAAACCTAAAAATATATACATTTTTATGCCATATAACATTATAAGAGTTTACTGTACATGAAAGTATAAATTACCATAATTTTTTATTCTTTTTTAGGCTTTATTCTAAATTTATTGTTTGTTTTTAGCCATATTTCACCTCAGAGGGACATGAGCACTGAAGCTAAGAAAGCGAGAGTACAAACAACAATGAGGATGCTCAAAGATGAGCCAGTGCCTGATGGTTATCTGCGATTCAAGTAAGTTTGTTATTTATAAAACTATTCCATTTTGAAATTTCCCGTTTATTTTCTTTTAACTAATTATTTTATTGTTTTACTCAGGTTTAACGAGGACTGTAGATACAGCCATTGTGGATACAGGGAACATCAAACACACTTTCACTGTATGAGACAAGACTGCGGATATAGTTTCTGTGACAAAACAAGATTTGTCCAACACACTGCGCGCCATGAAAGGTATTTTTTTAAAATTTAATTTATTAATGTTAACTAAATCAGTAATATTTGGGATATTTTATTGAGTTTTAAATTAAGTTATAATTAAATATAATACAAACTAATGTTTATTCGATTAATTGTAGGTTGGATACCTTAATGGGAGGCGACTTCCAGCAGTATCGTGCTAATGTAGCTTGCGGAAGGCCAGACTGCTCATACACCCCAACAATAGGTAAGAAAATAGTAATAATTCAATGAAAATAGTTACTACTAATTAAATATTCAAAAACGTATATAAACACGCTTGTAATGAGTGAGGTGGCCAGGCAGATCTTAATACAGTTATTAGATTATACACCTTTAACGCAAAATAGAATTATTGTTCAAAATCATTTAATATACAGCTTTTTATTAAATTTATATTGAAACAAATTTGAGAACCTTGCACTTTTTTACTAGATAAAAAATATTTTGTATATTGAATAAAATAATTCATTGTGAAAGAAAATATGAAGTTAAAACATACAGGAGATCGGGAATGACTTAAGTCCTTAAAGTTTGATAAAACTGATAAAGTGGTATTGAAATGTAATGCCCTAAAGAATTTCCTTTAGTACTTTTTTAAGCCTAATAAACACATGTTATTGTTTTTAGTACAAGTTTGAAATATTGCTATATTTCAAGAACTTTTTGCTCAATATAGAGATTTTATATTTTTCAATTTTGACCTTTATTCTAAATATATTTTCACACTTGTTTTTCTTTTGGTCAATTTAATTAATAATCAAACTAGTTGTTGATCACTAAAGATTTACCAAAGCATCCAATGATTAAACGTGATCAAAAACTAATTTTATTATTAATTAAATTGACCAAAAGACAAACAAGTGTGAAAAGATATTTCCAGGTTTATTGCATTTCTGTAATGGCAAATAACACAACTGATTTCCATTTCAAAAATATCGAATAGTACCAGAAAATTAATTTTTATCATTTTCAAAGATTTAAAAAATTAAAATATTGTGCAATCCTATTCCGTAACTAAAATATTATTACTAATACTAGTAAATTAATAAAGCAAAGTATTATAAAAAAGTTTTTTTTTCCTTTACAGGATCTGTTCAGAACAAGGCTTCTCATTTCCATTGTTTGAAGTGCGACTTTGTCTGCTCTGACACAAACAAAGTAGTTGCTCATAGAAGACACCACCAGAAGCTGGACTCGATCATGGCCGCAGGATTTGAGAAGTTCACACCGTCACAGTCATGCACCACAGCTGACACATGTGCGCACAATGGCAAGCAGACGCATTACCATTGCCTTAGCTGCCAGTATGCCGTGCTCGGTCTGAGCCAAATGACCGCTCACAAATACAGGCACATGGACTGATCCATCCTCCTTTCGAGCTCATTCGTATTTGATTCCAGTGAAGAAATCAGCTAGCCGATAGCTGAGCGACCCAGAGTTGTGATATGTACATAATACCAGTTAGGCAATGTGCCATTTGAAACAGAAGATATTCCTCTGTATAATTTGTATAGTTTAGAAATATTAGAATTATCTTTATTTGTAACGCCAAAATACGTATATATATATAAACACAAAACATATAGGAAACGTGTTGCATTGTTTTATTTCGTAGATCTTGTACATAGTAGCGATTAAAAAGTTTGCTTTATTATATCTATATTCCAAATGAGTATTTTATGTATTTTAAATTTATTGAGAAAAAAATTTATTGTATACGATTGAAATAGTCGTTATTGCGAATAGTCAAAGTGTCCAAAATATATTTGCACTTTGGATAAGTGTAATCATGTATCATAAATATGGGCTGGATAAGTTATTGATTGGTACTGAATATATATTTTTCTAGCTCCTAACGTATAAGATGTATAAATAGGAGTGTCTTAAAGTGTCTTAATTTACTCTATGGCTTTAGCTGAAGCAATTTACTAGTGTGTTCAGAAAAAATTGAATCTTAGATTCAATTTCACTGCTAGCCAAATAAAATTAAACAAAAACACTAGTTATATAAAAATATAAACATATATTTTACATTTAACTATAATTTAAATTATTTTAAATTATAGATCCATTGCGGAACCTTTTTAATTTTTTGTTTTTTTTAATTAACGATATAGTTCCTATAGTGAAATGGAATACGTTACAAGTATTTCATTGTTTTCATTATTTTAGGTTCAATTTCTTTTTTTTTTTTCCTTTCTTAGAAATGGTTACAAAGGTAAAGGTGCCTTTTGAATGTTTATAATGTCTTTTCCGATATTCAAACAACGGAATAAAAAGAGGCATATTAGTGCCCCGATAGAAAGTCCCAATACTTTAAATGTGTAGTGCCTTTAAAAGGAATGTGTGAAATATATTTGAAAACAAAATGTTAGTTCGACATTATCTGATAGAAATGAGAATATTTTTAAAAAATATAGAATTGACAAGTGATCATTAATATATTATATGAAATTTGATAATTTATGAAAAAAGAAAAAAAAATATATGAATTATATTTATGAGGATATTCTTGTCTTTGTATTTATGTATGAGTATTGTATAATACACTTTATTTATTTTCAACATCTCTTGTTATAGAATCAGCAATAAATAAGGAAATTAAATTTTTGTAAATATGATTTTCTTTCATCTTAAGTATTTGTATTTTTTTTTTTTTTTTTAGGGTTCTTTAAATTTATTCTGTGTGCCTTAAAATTTAAGTAGACACACTAGAATAGGACTCCAATTGTTCAGGTGTTATTTATAATTTTCTATTGTAATATCGAATAGCTTATGTTATATTTGACACTATAAATCAACACAATGTAAAAGTCTTTATGGTATGTTTTAGTTAAAATGTAATAAATATTTATATATAAGATATGAGTGTTACTATTCATTTCCATCCTTAATTTTCCTACAATATTTTATGAAACTTGTGTGTTTAATATATTTTAACTACAAAAGTTAACTAACTATATTACTATGCAATTAATATATTACCTTGTACCATAATTAGAAATTAGGAAACAAATCCAGGAAGTGAGTTGATAATTTTGTTCTTAAAAGAAAGATTTAAGTTTTCAAAAAGGAAAAATGAATGGCTATCAGTGTTGCCAGTTGGATAAAGTGATATATCTAATTTCAATTTATAATGAAATATACTAAACTAATAGCATTACATAATTTAAAATATCTTATTTAATAATATATTTTTAATTATAATCAAAATACTTTGTTCTTTTTTTTTTGTATCCAAATAGACTAACACTGCTACACACACCCCCCCCCCTTCTTCAACCAAAATCGAAAACAGAACTGAGTAAAAAGTATTTTAATTATTATTTTGAAATAAAGTATTTAAAATAGGAACAATTTTGTGTTTTTAAAAGGTACTATATCCAACTAAAAATTATTTAAACTGTTTATTGATTTTTTTTTTCAAATGTAAAGTACTTATATAATTACATATCATAGGTTTCTTTTCTTTAATATGGATTTTGAGTCATTCAAAAATAAAATTCTACATTCATTGTAACTTTTTTCCAGTTTCTTTTACCACAAAGTATGTTTAAATGGCTTAAAGGAGAATAATTTAGATGGTTCATTAGAATTCTTTTAACCCTGTTGGCTAATCTTTGCTTTTAACGTTTATTTCAATTATTTATATTCTTAAAAAAAATATATATGTTAAGTGATAAATAAAAACTGTGAATGGACAAGGATTGTATACTTATCTTGAATGAATTACCTGGTTCTAAGATATTTTTTGTTTGAGAAGCTATGTCTAGTACAATTATGACATTTTAGATTTACTTTTTAGCAAAATGAAATGCTTTATCAGAAATTTAAAAACTTTAAAAGTTTCATGGGTAAAAGTTTCAGTCTCAAAATAACAAATAAAATAATACATAAAAAATTAAATTATTATAGTATTACATCTATATGTAAATGTTTTGGGCTTTTCCCCCAACTTGGTGATTTACACACAATACTAAAATTTTATAAGTTTGAAATTTGGCAATTTCAAGTGATTTTTATTATTTCTATAAAAAACAAAAACCTGTATCACTACAACCATGAAGGGTTTTAGGTTTAGTACTAATACTATTTATTGGTCAATGGTTGTTCCATTTGACCAAGACCACGTTCAACAATTAACAAATTGTTTAATTAAGAGCACCCGCTTTATAGAGACTGGGTGTGCCCCAAGAGGGTCTCCCAATTCCATGTTTGATCCACGACTGAACAGAAACAGAATAAATAATTAACTGCCAACATCCGGATTTGAACCCAGGATCTTGAGCTTAAGAAGTCAATGCCCTACCTAGTGAGCATCCCGCTCACTAGGTAAAACCATAATACAATAAAAATATGCATGCCAATTATCTACAAAGATTTAGATAATTTTTAATAATTCTATTTTAAAGATACATAAGATTTTGTTTTATAGATTTTTTAACTGAAAATAAAGGGTTTCTAAATAAGTAATATTACATAAATTGAAATCTGTAGTAAATAAATATTGAACATTCACTTACTGTCTCAAACTCATTTAGTCAAGGATAGGCTGTACAATGATTTAGTAAATAATAATAGCAGTACACATTTTTTACTAAAACCTCGTCCTACATTGTTGACTCAATTATTTAAAATGTTCTTCTCAAGGTTAATCCATCATCCCCAAGGGTCTCCTTTTGATGTTCATTTAGTCATTGAACTAAATTTTCTCAAAAGTATATTAGGTGCGGTGTTTCCATCATATTTGTTATATTTCCCTCAGAATGAAATCAAAAACCCCTTCTGCCCAAATATATACTAAATAATATATATTATATGTAATCACTAATGTTACTGAGTTACTGAATTTATTTATTATTTATAAATGATGGGGGCTCTTCGACCACCTGGGTCATTTTGCCACATTAGATCAACTACTATTTAGACATAAATAATATACCTACAGTTAACAAATACAATTTAAGGTTTATGAAGTTAAAAAATTGTTACAGTTGAATATAGTACAATTGAATCAAAGCTGTAAAAATTCAAAGTTAAAGATTAAAAGGAAATAAGTTAACAAAGGTAATTATAATAAAGGTTAATGATTTCAAGATTAAAAGTTAAAAATATAATTTAAAAAACTAAAAATTAATGTTAAAAGAAGAAAACTTAAAAAGTACAATTTAAATGTTGAAAATTTCTAGAAGAAAAGTTTACAAAAATGATTAAAATTAAAAGTTAAAGATTAAAAGAAGAAAAACCTAACAGGTATATTTACAATTAGAAAAGGAACTTACAAACTTAATAACTTAACAGGAATACTTAAAATTACAAGAACAGTTTAAAGGGTCAATTTAAATTTAAAAGTTAAAATCACAGAAAAAAGAGTTAATATAGGTGAAGGGAGGATGGGAGAAGGGATCCTGGCTCCAGAGGGCGAAATCCAGCAATAGTATTACCATCTTGGAAGTTCTTGTTTGGTGGAGAGACTTATTTGGAGTTACAAGAGAGAGGATCTCCCAGGAATCTTGAGTTGAGTTGATGAAAGTGTTACCATTTCGGAAGATGTGTTAGGCAGAACATAGGAAAATGTTAGAAGACAAATGAATTCAGTGACGCAAAGGAAGAAACAGTGTATATAGAAAAAAAAAGTTAGCTTGCCAGTTCATACTTTACTTTATTTTAAAATCAAATAGTTTGTTGTAGTTAATATTAGTTTGTCTGAGTGTTTTGATCTGATTGTCAGTAACCCATACCTTGAAATAAAATAGTTATAAAGTTTAGTTGAATTTATCAATATTCTAATCATTTTGTTTATTACTTAATAACCTCTTATTTATTTAAGAAGTATTCCAACCAAGAAAATGATCTTCCATGAGGTTATATTATTAGTTAAAAAATATTACACTATACGATTTAAGTTAAAGATACAAATTCAATGGTGCTGCAAATAATGTTTAAATTACAATATGTTTATAAATTAGTTAGTAAAATTATACAGTGATAGAGGTTCATTTTTTTATGAGTTTATAAAATATAAATTTACTTGCTCTAGATTAAATTTTGTGAAATATTTTGATATCTCCTTAAGGAACAATATTAAGTTTTTAATAGCATTGGGTGCCTATGTTGTAGTGATTCTACAAGGTTATTTCTGAAAAGATGTTGGTCCCTAAGAGATTGGAATCCATAACATTCAGTCAAGATATGGCTCACTGTTAGAGGAACCCTGCAGGAGATACATTGAGCTAGAGAGTCTTACCTTATCAAATACTCATGGGTATACCGAGTATGCCCGATTCTCAGCCGGATCAGTACGACTTCTTTCCTTCTGGTTTTATTTAAACCGTAGCTGATTTTAAACCTTAACTGATTTTATTTTTACAAAAGATTAAACTTAGATTAGGCTTTGATTGATAAAAATTGTTTTCTTTCTCTCTCAACTTTGGAATTTCCCTAAAAAAAGGAATATTTTTACCAAATTGGAAGCCCTGATCAGATGGAATACTTACTCAGCCTCACAATAGATTTAAAACAGGATAATAGCAGTCTTTGAACAAATACTAATAAAAAAACATTGATTACCTAAAAATCTTAGTTCTTTTTCAGGTACAAAAGAGTTAATCACTATAATAAGAAATTTTCTTATTTTAAATCATCATTAATACAATTAATTACATTTATTATAATTGAAGGATTAAGGATAAAAAATCAAGTTTGACCATGGCACATTTGTTTAAGAAAGTTTATATATAAATTCTAACAATTATTAGAATGGTGAAAAAAGTTGCATATTTTGATGAAAAACTGAACTAATGAAAAATTAATCAATTGAACTTAACTAAATGTACTTTCAGCCTATATGCCCTGAAAAAAAAAAACTAGTGAATTAGGATTTAGTTTTTGAACCATTGGGATAGGTTTAGCATTTTAGGAATAAATATAAAACAAGTAAGTTTTGATAAAAAATTTTTCAGTTTTTTCTAAAATACTTTTATAAATTCACCTATGTAACATAGTTTAGTTGTCCTTTAAGTTCATGGTATTGCTGTCCATATTGTTATATGGAATAGCTTATGTTATATTTGACACTATAAATCAACATAATGTAAAAGCCTTTATGGTATGTTTTAGTTAACATGTTATACATAAGATATGAGTGTTACTATTCCCCATCATTACTTTTCCTATAATATTTAGTGAAACTTGTGAGTATAATATATTTTAACTACAAAAGTTAACTGACTATATTACTAAGCAATTAATATATTACCTTGTAATAGAATTAGAAATGAGGAAACAAATCCAGGAAGTGAGTTGATACTTTTGTTCTTAAAAGAAAGATTTAAGTTTTCAAAAAGGAAAAATGAATGGCTACCAGTGTTGCCAGGTGGATAAAGTGAACTGTCTTAATTCAATTTATAATGGAATATACTAAACTAATAGCATTAAATAATTTAAAATATCTTATTTTATAATATATTTTTAATTATAACCAAAATACTTTGTTCCTTTTTTTTTTTATCATAACAGACTAACACTGCTACACCCCCCCCCTTCTTAAACCAAAGTCGAAAATAGACCTGATTAAAAAGTATTTTAATTATTATTTTAAAACAAATTATTTAAAATAGGAATTATTTTGTGTTTTTAAAAGGCAATATATTTAACTAACAATTATTAAACTTGTTTATTGATTTTTTTTTCTAATGTAAAGTACTTATATAATTACATATCATAGGTTTTTTTTTCTTTAATATAGATTTTGAGTCATTCACAAATAAAATTCTATATTCATTGTAACTTTTTTCCAGTTTCTTTTAGCACAAGGTATGTTTAATTGGCTAAAAGGAGAATAATTTAGATGGTTCATTAGAATTGTTATAACCCTATTGGCTAATCTTTGCTTTTAACATATATTTTAATTATTTCAA